TGTCTCTTATGACTTTCTTTGTTTTGAAGTCTATTTTGTGTAATACATACTGCAACTCCTGCTTTTTTCTCTGTGTTAGGTGCATGAAATATCTTTTCCCATCCCCTCACTTTTAGTCTGTATATTTCTTTGGGTTTAAAGTGAGTCTCTTGTAGGCAGCATATAGATGTGTCTTGTTCTTTTATCCATTCAGGGACTCTATGTCTTTTAAATGGTGCATTCAGTCCATTTACATTTAGGGTGATTATTGATATGTATGTACTTATTGCCATTGCTGGCTTTAGATTCTTGGTTACAAAAGGTTCAAGGTTAACTTCCTTACTATCTAAGAGTCTAACCTAACTCACTTAATATGCTGTTACAAACACAATCTAAAGGTTCTTTTTTTTTCTTTGCCTCGTTTTTGGTCCTCCTCCATTCTTTATATATTAGGTATCATATTCTGTATTTTTTTTCTGTCCCTTGATTGACTTTGGGGATAGTTAATTTAACTTTGCATGTGCTTAGTAGTTGGCTGTTCTACTTTTTTTTACTATGGTTTTATTACCTCTGGTGACAGCTATTAATCCTTAGGAACACTTCCATCTATAGCAGTTCCTCCAAAGTAGACTGTAGAGATGGTTTTTGGGTGGTAAACTCCCTCAGCTTTGGCTTATCTGGAAATTGTTTATTCCCTCCTTCAAATTTAAATGATAATCTTGCCGGATAAAGTAATCTTGGTTCCAGGCCCTTCTCCGTCATTGCATTAAATACATCATGCCACTACCTTCTGGCCTGTAAGGTTTCTGCTGAGAAGTCTGATGTTAGCCTGATGGGCTTTCCTTTGTATGTGATCTTATTTCTCTCTCTCTGGCTGTTTTTAATAGTCTGTCCTTATCCTTGATCTTTGCCATTTTAATTGTTATATATCTTGGTGTTGTCTTCCTTGGGTCCCTTGTGTTGGGAGATCTGTGCACCTCCATAGCCTGAGAGACTATCTCCTTCCCTAGATTGGGGAAGTTTTCAGCAATTACCTCCTCAAAAACACTTTCTATCCTTTTCTCTGTCTCTTCTTCTTCTGGCACTCCTATTATGTGAATAATGTTCCTTTTGGATTGCTCACACAGTTCTATCAGTATTCTTTCATTCTTAGATATCCTTCTTTTTCTCTGTGCCTCAGCTTCTTTGTATTCCTCTTTTCTAGTTTCCATTTCATTTATCGTCTCCTCCACCATATCTAACCGGCTTTTAATACCCTCCATTGTGCTCTTCAATGATTGGACCTCCTACTGGAATTCATTCCTTAGTTCTTGGATATTTTTCCATACCTCTATTAGCATGTTGATTATTTTTATTTTGAACTCCATTTCAGGAAGAGTCATAAGGCCCATGTCATTTCACTGATTTTTCTATTGTTTTATTGTTCTCGATTTTATTTATTTCTGCTCTAATCTCTATTACATCCCTTCTACTGTGACTTTGGCCCTTGTTTCTTTTTCTTTTTCTAGTTTCTTTAATTGTGTGTTTAGGCTGTTCATATGGATTGTTCTTCCTTCCTGAGGTAGGCCTGTATTGCAATATACTTCCCCTTTATCATGTTCTTTGCTGTGTCCCACAGATTTTGCGATGTTAAATCATTATTGTCATTTGTCTTCATATATTGCTTGACCTCTGTTTTTATTTGGTCACTGATCCATTGATTATTTAGTAGCATGTTATTAAGCCTCTATGTGTGTGGTGTGTGCACTTTTTCATCTTCTTTGTGTTGTTTATTTCCAGTTTCATACCTTTGTAGTCTGAGAAGCTGGTTGGTTCAATTTCAATCTTTTTAAATTTTCTGAGGCTTTTTTTGGGGCCTAGTATATGATCTCTTTTTGAAAATGTTCCATGTGGACTTGAGAAGAATGCATATCCTGTTGCTTTTGGATGGAATGTTCTGTAAATGTCCATTCGGTCCATATGTTCTAATATGTTCAGTGCCTCTGTCTCTTATTTTCTGTATGGTTGATCTGTCCTTCAGAGTGAGTGGTGTGTTGAAGTCTCCTAAAATGAATGCATTGTAATCTATTTCCTCCTTTAATTCTGTTAGTATTTGTTTCATATGTGCAGGTGATCCTGTGTTGGGTACATAGATATTTAGAATAGTTATATACTCTTATTGACTGATCCCTTTATCATTATTTAATGTCTTTCTTTTTCTCTTGTTACTTTCTCTTTTTTTTGAAGTCTATTTTTTTGGATACAAGTACTGCAACTCCTGCTTTTTTCTCCCTATTAATTGCATGAAATATATTTTTCTGTCCCTTTACTTTCAGTCTGTGTATGTCTTTGAGTTTGAAGCAAATCTCTCATAGGCAGCATGTAGACAAGTCTTGTTTTTTTTTCCATTTAGTGACTCTGTGTCTTTTGATTGGTGCATTCAGAACATTTACATTTAGTGTAATTATCAATATGTATATACTCATTGCCATTGCAGGCTTTAGATTCAAGGTTACCAAAGGTTCAAGGGTAATTCCCTTACTTACTGTCTAATTTAATTTAACTCACTTAGTATGCTATTACAAACACAACCTAAAGGGTTTTTTTTTTTTTTTTCCTCCATTTTCTTCCATCTCCATTCTTTATATGTTAGGTAGCATATTCTGTACTCTTTGGCTATCCCTTTTTTGACTTTGGGGTAGTTGATTTGATTTCACATCTGCTTAGTAAATAATTATTCTTCTTTGTGTACTGTGGCTTTATTTCCCCAGTGAGAGCTATTTAGCCTTAGGAACACTTCCATCTATAGCAGTCCCTCGAAAATGTACTGTAGAGATGGTTTGTGGGGGGTGAATTCTCTCAGCTTTTGCTTATCTTAAAATTGTTTAATCCTTCCTTCGAATTTGAATGATAACCTTACCCGATAAAGTATTCTTGGTTTGAGGCCCTTCTCTTTCATTGAATTAAATTTTCATGCCACTCCCTTCTGGCCTGTAAGGTTTCTGTTGAGAAATCTGATGAGAGCCTGATGGGCTTTCCTTTGTATGTGATCTTTTATCTCTCCCTAGCTGCTTTTAAAAGCCTGTCCTTATCTTGATCTTTGCCATTTTAATTTTATATATCTTGGTGTTGTCTTCCTTGGGTCTCTTGTGTTAGGATATCTGTGCACCTCCATGGCCTAAGAGACTATCTCCTTCCCCAGTGTGGGGAAGTTTTCAGTAATTACCTCCTCAATGGCACTTTCTATCCCTTTTCCTCTCTCTTCTTCTTCTGATACCCATATATTGTGCATATTGTTCCTTTTGGATTGGTCACACCTCTCAATATTCTTTCATTCCTAGAGATCCTTTTTCCTCTCTGTGCCTCAGCTTCTTTTATTCCTCTTTTCTAATTTCTATTCCATTTACCATCTCTTCTACTACATCTAATCTGCTTTTAAATCCCTCCATTGTATGTTGCATTTCAGGTATGGAATTTCTTAATGATTTCATCTCCATCCTAATTTCATCTGAGTTCTTAAATATTTTTCTGTACCTCTGTGAGCATGTTTATCATTTTTATTCTGAACTCTCTTTCAGGAAGATTGGTACATTCAATATCACTTGGGTCTTTTCCTGGTGTTTGTGAGATTTTAGTGTGAACCAGGCTCCTTTGATGTTTCATATTTGTATGGGGCACCCTCTAGTGCCCAGAAGCTCTAGTCTCTGGAGTTGCCTAGCCCTTTGAGTGATGTCGGGGGTTACAGGGGAGTGGCTCTGATGCCTGGGGGAGGTAAGTGCTGTTTCCTGCTTCCCGGCTGTAGTGCCTGTCTCCACTATCAGAACTAGTGGGCCAAGCACACAGGTGTAAGCCTCTGTGCTTTGCATTTGTAACTGCCATAGGTGGGGACTCTCTCTGTGTGGCTGAGGCCAGGGCAGGGACTACCAGTTTGTTAGTCCATGCCAGCAAGTCAGGAGGAAGGTGCAGCAGGCTGTGTATCACAGTAGTGGATCTCACAGCTGAGTAGCCAGCCTGGGGAATGGAGCACCTGAATCTCCTGAAAGTTTACAACCTGCTGGACCTAGCACACCCAGCCAACCTTTCCACCTATCCCTTCTCCGACGCAGCAAGCTCCATGTTGTCCCTGTCCTTTCAGCAGCTCTCTCACTGCTAGGAAGCTTCTCAGACCACCCACCTTTCCTTTGTCCCAGAGCAGCCAGATATGGATCTCTATCCTCCACACATGGGTTGAATCTCAATCTCTCCCAGTTTTTTGCTTGTCCTTGCTTTCCAGACCCACTAATCTCCAGAGCACCATGCAGTGTAGATTAGTGCTCCCAAAGATCTCCAGGCCTGGGTGTTCAGCTGTCCTAGGCTTCCATCCACTCTTCACCCTGTTTCTCTTCCTCCCATCAGTGAGCTAGGTTTGGGATCAAAGCTTTCTTATGTTACCCCATTTTGTGAGGTCTGTTGTGTTCTCCAGGTGTATGCAGTCTGGCACAGCCTTCTTTCTTGTTGCTCTTTAGGATTAGTTGTATTAACTGTATTTTAATATTATATATGGTTTTGGGAGGAGCTTTCTCAGTCTCTCATCTCGTGCCAAATCTTTCATCTTTCTAACATACTGTATTTTTTATTTTAAGTTGCCTTTACTTAAAATCTAGAAAATGGTTTGTTTTTTTATTGATCCAAAGTTACCCCAGATGACAGAAATACAAAACAATTTTGTATGTGATTTGCTGTGCTAGGAACATATCTCTAACATGTTACAACAATCCTTTCCCATTTTTTGCTTTCTTTCCTAAGGAGTCTTTCACAAGAACTAAAACATACTCTATGATTAATATAGCACAATCATATTATGTAAACATTTAAGTAATTACAAATTAAACAACCTTCATAGTAAAGATAAAGCATAAAATAGTTTTACAAAAATGTCTTGTTCAATAGTTTTTGAAACCTTATGCATAGGCTCATGTTTTGCAAATGAAATAGAATAATTTAATTTATTATTTCAATTATTTTCAAGTGTGTTTCTTTCTTTCTCTTTTATTCTTTACTAGTGTGCACTGGTATGGGAATGTACAGAGCCAGAAAGTGTGAGCAGAAAGGACAACTTACCTTTTTTGAATGCAGGTATGTACCTCTGTTTTGGAAACTCAAATTAATTTCATATGAACATGAATTTTAATTTCCTATGAACTCAGTACTGAACATGGGCAGCATTCTTACAGAATCATTTGTGAACACTTAATTGGTAATCATGAGGAGCCAGCAGAGTGTGGGTAGATTTGACAATTACATTAGAAAGATACATAAATACATTGGCTATATGGTAAAACAAATACCTTTTAAATACTGAACTTTTTATTATCTGAAACAAGAACACATTATAAATGTAATAAGTACTAGGAATATGTATTAATAAGTATTAATATTACTAAACTCTTATTTAGTTTGACTTTCTAAATATGGAATTCAAAGTAAATTTGTTAAAACTGTAGGTATTTGGATTCAGTAGGAAAACATCATACAAGTTTGTACATTCTTGGGCATGTGTATACTGTGTTAATTACAGTAATATATTTGAATCTTAATAAGACTCTAAATAATGTGTTGAAAAATGACCTTATGATTAAAATTGAGATATATGGTACAATTAAAAAATATGTGACAATATGTACATGTAAATTATGGAATTAATTTTTGAGTAATAATTTATGCTACTACTAATAAAAATAATAGTAAATGACTATTACAGTGATAGGCAATATGCTAAATTCCTTACATGCCTTGCTGTGCCTTGCTCCCTGACATGTGCTTTAAAAAAGGCACTATCACTATCCCCATTTTATAGATGAGGAAATTGGTCAAGACCACCTACCTAGCAAATAGCAGGTCCAGAGTTTAAGTTCAATAAATATAAATGCCTTTGCTCTTAATTACTAGACTGTGCTATTACTAAGAGCCATTAATTAATAAGATGCCATAGCAAAAAAAAAAGGCACAGCCATGCTATACATTTAAACAATGGCATACATTTAAACAGTAGCATAATAATCAGCTTAATGAATGATACCAAACCTCAAAGGCTTACTAATACATAGCTCCTAAACTATTAGAAGTTTTTCCCCCACAGGAAGCCACTACTAATAGGGAATGAAGGCAATCCTTTGTGTTTATCCTACAGAGAACTCAAAATGAAAGTACAGTGCAAGGAATATAGTCATTAATATTGTAGTATCCTTGTATGATGACAGCTGGTAACTACACACTTATCATAGTAAGCATTTAGTAGTATCACTGTGTTGTATACCTGAAACCCATATAATATTGTATATCATCTATACTTCAATAAAAAAATAAAATAAATCTATAGTAAGGGAGAAACCCCCTAAAATAAAATAAAATGAAATGTAACAACAATAAAAAAAGACTCATTAACTATTCATACATAGAATGAAGGGACCATACCAAAGAAAAGCAGCTAATTCTCAACCTGTGACCAAATGACATTTAAAAATTTTTATTAAGGTTGTAATATTGAGAGGAGTGTGCATTAAACAATGAATAGTCGACCCAGACAGCTAAATCAGCCATGTGCCATAAAAATACTTAATAACCTATCAATGTGGTTAAAAATAGCTAGGGTATCCTCAGAAGGTCGTCTTCACATATATTTCTCCATCTGAAAATTAATCAAACCTGTAGTCTTTTATTTTCAGATATCCAGATGATTAATATACTAAATGTAAATTTTGAGAAATAAAATTGAGTGTGGGAGATACTAGGTTCATGTTAAATACTGCTTGAATGAATTAGGTTATTACCAAAATCATTTATATTGTAAATATAAGGTAACTTCTAATGATTCACTCATGTGAGCGTTGTAATTTTTTATGCACACAGAAAGAAATGTCATTTCAAAACGTTATTATGTTTATATAAATTTCAAAGAGAAGGAGAAAAATGACTCTCTAAGTAAAAAAGTATATTACCTAAAGAAGAAGAGACAGAGGGGGAACATAGTGCAAATTAAATCTGCACCTCCTAATACTTGTGCCATAAAATCTGTAAGGCATGAGTCTTAGAAGTTTACTAACTTTCCTTCCTTCCTGTTCCAGATTACTAGGGTACTATTCCTAAAGTATAAACTATAATATGACACAGCAACTGACATGGAATTGATAGAAGCAGCTGCATTCTGCCGTTTAAATATGCTTCCTTTGTGGAGTGAAAGATGATTGATTAGTGCCTTTCTCTTTTCATGGATGTGACAGTTTTGGTGGTAATACTCCACTTAGTGGCCATGATATTTCTCAGGGTCCTTAGTCCAGGCAACCCAGAGGAGCACTTGGAACCTAGGATATTTGCCACAAATATTTCTTTGAGCCTTCTTATATTATGGAAAGATAAAACTAAATGACAGCGTTATAAAAAGTGTTATAAAAGTCAGATTATTTTTTCTGTTTTAAAAATACAACTGTGTTCTATATATGAAATGTTTCTGTTCAAAATATAAAAGTACATTGTGCAGATACAATACGTAGTGCTTTGCTCTATGTACCTTTGTCTTTTGTTCTATTTACTTATCTAAACTCAGCAACTTTGGAATCAATCCATTATATTCCTCAGTGGATTTTTTTTTTTTTAATCTTTAGGCAAAGGGTGCTACTGACATTCTTCTCAAGTCTTTGTATTGATGTATTGTATGGAATGTGCCATCCTCAAGTGAGTTAGGAAGTTCCTACTGAGTGAGTGGAAGAGAATGTCATATCTCATAGGAGCTCTTCCCTTTTCTATTTATATCTCTAGAGGTTTAATTTATAATTCAGGAAATGGGCTTATCTATTGTAAGGCTAAAAAGAAAAGGCTCTTCTCCCTAAGGTCTCACCTTTTTCATGCCCTATTTGCCTTGCTGGTTGAATTCTATGTTGGGAGTCCAGGAACACTGAGGGCAGGAGGAGAAAAGGAGGGGTAGGAGGAGGGGGGGTGACTGGACAATGGCCTGAGAAAGACGGGTCAGCCCTGGAGCTGTTTGGGAAGGGTTCCTTAGAGCTCTTCCATTTTAGACTCTTGGAAACAAGACACACTAGAAGCCACAGTAAGTATTAGAAATGTGAAGTCCTTAGTTTGACTTTCTAATTATGTAACTCATAGAATAAAGTTGTTAACACATAGATTTACCTCTTTAACTTTTTGCTTATTTAAGCAAAATGGTAATAAGAACTCTCAAAACTATTTGTTGCTGGGGGTATAGGGAGAAGGGGAAGTTAATTTTGAACACAGAGAAGTGCAGGTGGTCAGGCAACTCTTGTGTCCTGCTAAGTCATATTAATTGGAGCCAGGCAACAGCTGATAGGCACCAGTGGTATTAATGTCAGAGCACTGGGCAGACTCTCAGAAGAACTGGGGTCAAAGCTTAGATTCACCAACTGGCAGCGGGTCAGCCTCTTGGGACATCAGTTCTTTTAAAATGGCTGTATTCACCTGGGAAGTTTTTTACTTCTTTTTGGCTCACAAATATTTGAAGTTGATATAGCATAGTTTTAACTTTTGCTGTTTTCCTTCTGTCTTAGAACTGTTTCATCTCATAAAAGTATTCATTTTAGTTAGTTTCACATGGATTCACACATCAGTTCTTTGTCATTTATAGTTGTCTTTCTCAGGGCTTTATATTTAATAAACCTGACCAGAGATACACTTTTTAAAATTTTTGTAAAGAAGATAATTCTCTATAGATTTCCTGATTCTTCCATTTTGCTTGGTGAAATGATGATGCTACAAAGTCCTTCAGTCCATGGACCCTTATATTACTGTGCCAAATCTGAGCAGCTAATGGAGCCTGTCACTAAGTTTCCTATTCTCCTCACATTTTGAGTGAGTTTTCCACTGTCAGCAAAGTATTAGATCTGACACAGCATCTCTCTGGGTTGAGTTCCATACCTCTTGAGTCATGAAATTAACCTTCAACATTCTTCAAAGAACACTTTCATGCTGTGTATTAACATGTACACTGTTCTTCCTCTTCACAGAGGATGTATTGAACAGCAATGATTTCCGTGACTGCATAGATAAGAATCTAAACACAGATGAGGGGACTGTACAGCAGTCAGTCTTAAATACATGTAGTTCTCCTCCGACTGGGAGACTTTATTGGTGCTTGCACTTCCTGCTTCACAGATGAATCACATTTTTTCCCAAAATAGGCCTCTATCTATATCTTTGGTTCTTTTTCCCAAAATAGGGTTAAGCCCACTACTGTTGCTCTGCAGAAGATAATAGATTATAAGCTATTTAAGAAGAAGGAACACAGCTTATTTACTTCTGTATCTCCAGGGCCAGAATACAATAGAAACAAAAAAAATGCTTGTCAAATGACTGATAACAGGTATATCTTATCATCCGAATTTATACTTCTGGTAAACAGAAAACTGCATTTTAATTCTCTCCATAAGAAAGATGTTCAAATTCAGTAATTTAGATTTGAAATAAAACAATTTATTACTTTTCTTGAAAATGACTACCATATTCTCATTAAAAAATTTTTCTACTTCTTGTGACAGCACAGACTTTAATTGCCTTTCACATTACCACCCAACTGAGCTAAATATTAGGGTAGCATTCTCCTCACTACCACCCCCATATAAAGCAATGCATAGCAGAATATTTTAAGAGATTGTCAAAAATGTTTCCCTCTGTACTCATTTTGAGTCCTGAGGAATTCCAGCACAAAATGAAGTCCCATTTTTCCCTTTTGTGTTTTTCATTCATGGGGTTCTAAATCTACTACTGTGCCAAATTTTAAATGATATTTTATATTAAGATATCTCCATTGTATTTTCTGCATTCTAGCTTAAATAGATTTTGCCCTTGTGGTTAAAAGTATGATATATAAATTCAGGGCCATTGTGGCTTATAACATTGGTTCTTCATCATTTATATGTTGTATACCAGATTTCTTTGCCCTTTGTATTTTAACAAATGTGAAGGAGTTCATTAACCTTGCTCTTTTGGAATTTCCATGTATTTTCACTACTGTGTACTAATTAATATATTTAGGATGTTAGTGTCTTGCCAGTGGGTTTTAGCCCTGGGCAAGTTTGCTGTGGATTCAGTGTGACCAAAGAAATGAC